GACCGTGCACCCAGCTGCTGGGGACACAGCCGGATCTAGGCAGACTCATACTGCTCACAGGCACTTGACACTGACCGAGCCAGGAGAGGAACACGCATTCCAGAAGCTGATGGATGACAAGAGTGAAGCAAGGTCAGAGATGGAGCTGGCCTGGGGGACACCTTTATGTGGGGTCTCTGGGAGGGAGACTCTTTGAGGAGGTGATTGCAGACCTGCAGGCAGAGAATGAGCCAAGCTTGGAGAGAGGCAGGGGGAACAGCCGATGCAAAGGCCCTGAGGTGGAGCAAGTGGAGTGAGCAGAGTGAGGACAGGGAAGGCTACCAAGGACCCTGAGCCTTGGCAAAGGGTGTAGATTTTATTCTGAGGGTGCCAGGGCCACTGGAGAGTTTAGAGGAGGGGCCTAATGAGATGTGTGGACTCTGAAAAGCCCGCCATGTCCAAGGCAGCGTCTGTTGGGTGGGGAGAAATGGGTGGATTCAGAACGTGTTCTGGAATTCCAAGGTGTGAGAGGAGGCCCAGAGTTGGGAACTCTGAGGGGTGGATAGGCGCATGCTTTCTGGGGTTGGACGGGTACAGGGAGCAGGGTGGGGGGATGCAGCGGCACCTTCCCTGACTGTCCAGTTCTGACCACAGGTTGGGCAGAGGCAGGACCCCGGTGGTGACGGAGCGGCAGGGAGATCCCGAGGGCCCAGCAGCACCTGCAAGTCTTACCATGAGAGGCAGGAATGTCAGGGTGTCTCATGGCTGGCTGCTGTCCCCACCCCCACCTGCTGCCGGGGCACCCCCTAGTGTTCCCATGACAAGGGCAGGGGTGAGACGCTGCGAGCTACTCTGACTCCCACATGACCTTCTGGGTGTCTGGCCTTGAACTTCTCCCTTGCACTCAGTAAAAGCAAACCATTATTACCAATGGTGCTGTAGCTTTCTGTTGAGAGCCCACCATCCTGAAGTCCTGAGGATCCCAACTGTGATTCTACGATTCCAGGATTCTCAGATAGTCCCTCTTGGTTTAGGATTGGGGTCAGGTCTTCTGGGACCCCCTGCTCGTCTTGCTTTGGTGTCTGCCCTTGCCTGATGGTCCTGACCCAGGAGAGGGGTACAGGGAAGGGCAGCTGGTGACCTCTTTCCCCAGGGCTCCTGGCCTGCCAGCCTGGGCACCTGGCCAAATCCAGGCACAGGACCTGGGAGTACCTCAGCACCTGAGGTTGGAGGGGCCCACTAGGGCCATGCTAGTTCCAAATTCCTGTCCTTGTCATCCTCAGCTGGCTGGGTGACCCCAGCAGAACCTTCCCCTCCCTGGGCCCCAGGCAACCAGAGGGGTGTCAATGGTCCCAGAGGCCGGTTCTGACTCACAGGCCCCACAATGAAGGGCTCATCATTGCTGGTCTCCAAGCTTCTGCTCTGCTTGGATCCAGCACAACACTCTGGAGGATGAGGGCACAGTTCAGGAGTCCTCACATCCAGCCAGTGTCCAGACAACTGCTCTGTGCAGGGTATGTGTGTGTGTGTGGGGGGGATTCCCAGGAGGGTTACAGGTTAGAGGGTCTGTGGCAACCTTGCTGAGTAGATGGCAGGGTGGGTGGATGTCTAGGTGTGAAAGCTGGGGCTCACTCATCTTCCGTTCATAGGTCTCTCAATAAGGGACTGACCCCATCCTTTGGCTGGTTGAGGCAGAGCGCTCTCAACTGATTGCCATGAAGCATTGATGAAGCCCCAAGGTGGGGATGGGGGTGCACAGTAGGCCTTCATGGGGCCCTGGTCTTCACTTTCTTGGTGATACACCCCATCTTTAGCTCATCTGAAGTCTCCCCACCCCCGGAACCAACTTTACATAGGAAGAAACTAAAGCTGTGTGTGTAGTGACCTGGCCCAGCAAAACCATTGGGGCCTACCTCAGGCCTCCAGATTACAGCCTAAGCAGGACTGGGGTTTCCTTCTCCCCCTTGTTCTCAGCATGTGGACATAGGATCAGGCACCCAAAGTTCTACCTTGTTGCTCTAGGGTGGGGCTTGATGACCAAAGAAGGCTGGCTGCCAGAGCACCAGACCTTGTGCCTATATTCCAGCCAGATGGGTATTCCCTGGAAATAGCACACATTGCTACTCTAGTATCACATGGTTACCCCAGATGAAAAGGCTGGGAAACGTATTTCTTTGTGGGTGGCATCTAGATATGGAAACCCTATTATTGAGGAAGGAGTATGTGGGGGGCAACTAGGGTTTCTGCCTCAAGTCACAAGATTAATGACACCAACAAGGCAAAAAATTCTAGTCTGGTTCCCAAAAAATACCTTAAAAAACATCAAGTGCCCTGGATAAAAAAAATTTGTACCATGTATGGGGTAAAACCCGTTTAGTTATTCCTGTTTTTTGCCCCACCTATGAAAGCTTTTACAAAATAGTAATTAAAAAAAAAAAAAAAAGATAACCAGCAGTCCTATGAAGAAAAGAACCGGGGATCCCTGGGTGGCGCAGCGGTTTGGCACCTGCCTTTGGCCCAGGGCGCGATCCTGGAGACCCGGGATCGAGTCCCACGTCGGGCTCCCTGTGTCTGCCTGTGTCTGTGCCTCTCTCTCTGTATGACTATCGTAAATAAATAAAAAAAAAGAAAAAGAAAAGAACCAAGTCCATACAAATGATTTTTATTTTAAGGCAAAGTGCTTACTTCCTGAAAAGAAAACGCAAATACAAATCCTAAGATGTGTTTTTTGTTTTTTTTTCCAGCTGTCAAAGTTTGCTAACCCATGGTTGCTGACATGGTTAAATGCCATCAGGAGAGTAAACTGTAGTGTCTACAGGGTGCTGGTGCAACAGATTGTGGCAAGGTCAAAATACAAAACTTGGGTCCGGCATTGCCAGATCTAGTTGTTTACCACCATCCTTACTCCTCGTGGTGTGTACAAAGCAATAGTCACTGGCTGTCATAGCCCCTCTCTGGGCCCCCAAATTACTGAACCTGTCCTGGGGCCGGGGAGTGATAAATAGGGTCCCTGCCCTCTCAGATTCAGTCTGGTGGGGCACAGAAAACCCACCAATTGTCACTCTTATATGCGTGTGACTTACAAACTTTAGGAGGCCCAGCCAGTGATGATATGGAACAGCCCAGGGAGAAGGCTCAGCAAGGTCAGGCACGGAGGTAGGGAGGAACCACTTCGGAGCAGTGGGCAAAGCAGCCAGTGAAGTCCAGGAAGCCTAGTACTCTGTCCTCAGATCTTTCCCTGTGACGATGGCTGCTGGCTGTGCCCAAGCTCTGCCTTGGGCACCTCTCCAAACACAGGTAGGGTATGAAGTGACCTAGTTTTCTGGAAACCACTGGGACTGTTCCTGCCAACTAGCCACGCCCCCCCCCCCCCCCCCCCCGTCCCCAGTGGGGGAAGGGAAGCTGTACCCTTGCCTGCAATACTGCAGGCCTGATTGCTGCCCTGGCCCCTACCCCACACTGCCTTTTTGTGCTCTGGCTTCTTTCTATTCCATGGCTCTCTGGAAGAGAAGTCACATCTCTGACTGACCTTTGCCCCCCAGTGCCTACAGTTGATTCTCCAAGTATCAAGTGAATAAATCTGCTGAGCCCCCTACTTTCTGATGAAGACTCATTCAGCAGACCAGGGTTGCCCAAGTTCATGCACTGAGTACAGATGCTTCCCAAGATCTGCGCTCCTAGCTGTGCCTCAGCGTCCTGATTGAGGGGGTTCAGCCAGGGTGGGATTAGCTTCATGCCTGGAATTCCCTCGAGCCTCAAGTGGTTTCTCGGAGACAGAGACCCACAGTGAGACCTTGACCTTCTTGGGCAGGATCAGGGTGTCCTTCAAGGGGCCCCCACCTAGTGAAGGACAACAGCCATAGCACAGCAAGTTGTTGGTCCTCTCTGGCGCCCCCTCATGTCTGGCCTGAGGATCCTGGACTCAAAGACCAGGGTTCTGAACCTGGAGAGGAAAATCTGCACATGGAATGAACCAACCCCATAATCCTGATTCTTTCCAGGCACCTGACTGCCCACATCTCACCAAAGACATGGTGGTTGTGGTATGGGGAGCCAAAGCTTGTATCTAACAAGGACGGACAGGTTTAGGGACCAAATCTTGCGGCCTGCAAGACAAAGATCACAGCAGAGAGCTACCTGATAGGGCGGAAAACCGGGCCCTCTGGCTCTAGGATCCTGCTAACAGCCCTGGGGAGCCAAGTAGGCAGGGGAGAGAGCATTTGGGGGTGTGTGGCCTCTGCCATTCTTGGAGGCTCCCGTTCTGGAGAAACCAGGTGTCTGGGCCCCACTTCAAGAGAGGAGAAGCCCTCCCAGGGCAGAGAACTCACAGCTTGGCTGTGCCCTTTTGAGTTCTGCAGGGTGTACAAAGAAAACAAATGTGTCTGAGCGCTTTGGTTTTACCCGAGGAGTTTATTTGAGCAGACTTGGGCACCGCAGGCTCTGCATCTAAAAGAAGGTGTTGGGCCTCTTGGTGGTGAAGCGTGGCTTGTGCTGACGACGCAAGACCCGATGGGGCAGTGGGAACTTGATCTTGGAGTCCTGTGGTAAGGAGAGGTGGGTGAGGGAGGTAAAAGCCTCTCAACCTTGTCTTCCAGGGCCACTGAAGTGTGGCCACCCCCCACTGGGCTTCTACGTCAAACCCAGTCCCTCCCTGCAGCTCCCAAGGCTAGGGGACAGGGGAGCAGCTGGGCCAGCTCCATGTTCCAGGGCAATGTGTGTCATCCCCCTGCCCGCCCACCTTACCCAACAGGGCCCTCAGAGCACTCACGTGGAACTGCTTGACCGCTGGCCGGCGGCACTTGCTGGCTGCAATCTCCTCCACCTTCATGATCTGGATAGAGTGGGCCCGGGCACGGTGTCGGGCACCCATGTCTCGGTCTGCAGGGAGGGAGGCAGGGCAAATGTGTACCCCAACGTCTGGGCATTCCTGAAACCTCCCATTGAGTGCTGGCCTAGAAGTACCCCAACATAGGGACCAGGTGGTTATAACCTCTGGCTCCAGCAGGTGCTGGCATTTTCAGGGGTGTAGAACCTCCAAATTCACTTTGAGGAGCACAGCCACAGCCCCCCAAAGGCGACGAGATCCACTTTGCTGTTAGCACCTCTGTTTAAACCGCTGCTATGAGAAACAGCAGTTCTTGGGTTGAGGTGCTGGGGTCTGGGCCCTGGGAGGTTAACTTGTTCTATGTGTGCCTGGGGCCACTAGCACCAGATCCTGACTGACAGGGCCCGGGCTAGACTCTGGGTGGGAATTATGTCTACACAAGTCATCAACTCCACAGGTTCGCCTGCTGCCAGGTTCCAGAAAAAAACGTACCTGGAGCATCCTCTCTACTCTTACCCCCTACACAAACACCTCCTCTGCATCCCCCATCACCACCCCCAGGACTCCCCGTCTTCCAATCCCAGAAGCCTCTTGCATTTGTCCTGCTTCAGTCTGGGGAAGAGGGGAGCGCAGGCGTAATGGGCTGCAGATGGCTGCAACAGGAGTCTAAGGAGGGACTGGGCACAGGCCCCATGGCTCACAGCACTGGGTGACGGCGCCTGCGGTGGTCAGATCCCGGTATTCCCGGTACATATTGTGGGTGCCACTGCGTGAATCATAGCGCAGCCAGATGCCGAAGTTCTTCACCCGCAAGGGAGATTTCTCGAACACCTAGATGCCAAAGACAATAGCGGAGGCCAGGGTGGTGAGTGGGCTCCCACCCAGGTCCAACTCATTGATCCTGTGCCCTTGCTGTTCCCAAAGAAAGCCCAGTCCCAGGCCTCTCTTGCATCTGTTTACCAGTCCTTGAATCTGACCTGGGCCTTGGGCTCTCTCATTAGGAAAAAAAAACACGAGGTATCCATTACATTCCAACCTAGAGCTTAATTAGGGCATGTGAACAAGCCAGGGGTTATGAAATCTGCGAACTCTGTGGGGTGAGAAATGCCCCTCACAAGAAGGTATAAATCCACTCCAGCTCCCCCATCCCCCCAGTCTCAAACATCCCATACCTGTCCACAGTAGACAATTTCTCCAGAAGACTTCTTCATCTTCTTTAGTTGAGACACAAAGTACCAGAAGCGGGACTTGGCGACAACATGATTAGGGGCAAAGATTCGCATCCGATACAGGGGCGGAGTGCGACATTTAGGGGTGGGCAGACAGCGCCCTACCACCTTGTACTCTCGCAGCTAAAACAGAAACAGAGGTGAGGTGGGGCCTGACCCTGCCACAACTGTGAAGATTCACCTTACTCCCTTCCCCAAGCCCAGGTGAGAACTGCATCCCCAAACTGACAACAGGCTGCCCCATTCCAGGGCATCCATGAGGAATCTGGGTGACTGGATCATGCCCCACCTTTCCAGACTTCCCAGAATAGGTACTGAGGGTGGGGAAGATGAACTAAGATGGCTAAGTATCCTCTGCCTGGACTCAGGAAAGCTGGGCAGGGCTGTCAATCTCACTGTCCTTCCTTTTCCATTTATATTCGTGAAAATAGCTGCAGTCTAGATCTGCAACCTCCTTTCTCCACACATCCTTGCAGCTCACATCTTCCCAAAGTCCTCTTTCGCTCTGGAACCCAAAGACAGTGACCAGCCTGGGATCTGACAGCCCACACCAGGCAGAACCAGGACAAGAACCCAGTTCCCTTCCCAGTCCTGCTGCCATGGGACCTGCAGCTGCCTCTGTATTCCCAGCAACAATAAAAAGGGTTTGGATTTCCCAGTGGGAACTCTGTTTACACGGATGCAAAGACAAAAAATTAGCCGCCAAGGCCAAACCCCGACATAGTGCCAAGAACCCATCTTTGTAACGGACTTGCCAACGTTTTATCAATATGAGAAAAATCTAGCCCTAAATACCACCCGCTCAGGAACGGACCTCTGCAGCTGGCCTCTTTCCCAGATGGAAACTGAGGCTGGGGAGCTGTACAGGGCCCGCCCTGTTTTCTCCCGAGGGCTTGCTCTTCCATCTCTGCACCACAGCGCCCTAGGATTTTACCCAGCACTTGCCACAGCGATAAGGCTCTCACTCCCCGCGTCAGCTCGAGTTTACAGTTTCCTTCTACCTTTTCACAGCCCCGCCAGTAGAAGAGAAATACTACTACGTCCTCCCACCATTCCACCTTGCAAACGGGAAAACCGAGGCTTGAAAACTCGAGGTCCCGTGACTAGAGCGTCCAAGCCGCGTAACCTGTCCCTTCCCCTGGAAAGGAGACCCGGCCTCCCCGGCCCCCGCGATTCCTCAGCGGGCCGGGACCACGGTACAAGCCTCCCCACGCGGTGCCTGCAATGGCCGCCATGTTGGCTTGAACCCGAGAGCGATGGCGCGCGAGGGCGCGCGACCCAGTCGAGTGTGCTCCCCCTACGCGACCTACACCGCTGGCCGGGGCCCCGGATTCGATCCGCACTGCACTCCCCGGCCCCCCAGCCCGCCGCGCGCTCGCCTCACCGTGCCCGAGGCCTTCATAGCGTACTCTCCGCTCTCGCCGCCACACCAAAAAGGAAGTAGACGTCCTCGCGCAGCCGCTCACCAAGACTTCGTTGCCGGAAGTCCCGCCTCCCACAAGCCGCACGCCCATTGGCTTCTCGATCCGACGCTCAGCAAGATGTGCCTTTTCATTGGCTCCAGATCCACCAACCTTCCACAGCCCCTCCTTCCTTCGCAGCAAGACTACAACTCACAGGAGATAGCTCCATTAGCCCCTCCCTTTCCACCTTGGCCGTAAGGGAGAGTCTCATGAGGCATGCCGGGAATTGTAGGCACCCGGGGAGGTCTGGGTGGCAGAGAGTGCCACTCCCCGGGTATGGTCCTGGGTAGAATTTATTTCCTTACTGCTTTATATTGCATGAAGTGACTATTTCCTAGTGCACTGTTTTAATTCCTTTAATGATCTTTTGCTATGTATATTTAATATTTTTTCTTTTAAGATTTTATTTTATTTTTATTATTTTTTAAAGATGTTATTTATTTATTCATGAGAGACACACAGAGAGAGGCAGAGACACAGGCAGAGGGAGAAGCAGGCTCCAAGCAGGGAGCCCGATGTGGGACCCGATCCCGGGACTCCAGGATCACGTCCTGGGCCAAAGGCAGGCGCCAAACCACTGAGCCACCCAGGGATCCCAAGATTTTATTTTTTAAGTAACCTCGACACCCAAGGCTGAGTTTGAACTCACAACCTGAAGGTCGAGTCCCGTGCTCCACCCACATACCTTAATTTTAATGAGATTTGGAAATGTCACTTCTATATAGCTTATTTCCTCTTTCTCCTTTTGTCTCATTATTGTTGCTATTGTGCTATTATTCTTATACGTATTACATCCATATATGTTACAAACATAACAATACATTGTTATAATTGTTACTTAAAGTTGTACAGCTGTTAAAGAATCTGAGAAAATAGAAGAGGACAAGTATGTATTTATACAGTTTGTTACATTAATTTTCTCCGTTTGCATTTCTGGTTCTCGTCACTTGATTTTGTGGAAGCGTTACTAGTGGGTGTCATTTCCTTATTCCTATACTTCGCTCACCTGCTTTGTACTATTGTCAAATGTACTATGTTTCTGAATGTTATAGAGAGCTGATGACACGATTATTTTTTTAAAGATTTTATTTATTTATTTATTTATTTATTTATTTATTTATTTATTTAATTTATTTATTTGTCAGAGAGAGAGAGAGCACAAGTAGGGGGAGAAACAGGCAGAGGGAGAAGCAGGCTCTGCTGAGCAGGGATCCCAATGGGGTGGATCTGAGGACCCCGGGATCATGACTTGGCCACAGGCAGATGCTTAACCAACTGAGTCACCCAGGCATGCCTCAATGACACAATATATAAATATACATAGGATATGTATCTTAAGATTTTATTCATTTATTCATGAGAGACTCAGAGAGAGGCAGAGACACAGGCAGAGGGAGAAGCAGGCTCCATGCAGGGAGCCTAACGTGGGACTCGATCCAGGGTCTCCAGGATCACGCCCTAGGTTGCGGGCGGCGCTAAACCGCTGCGCCACCAGGGCTGCCCTCTAGGGTCTTTTCTAACTTCAGTCTTGAGCCAAACATGAGCAGGAAATAGGCAGTGCTTTCTTGGTGGATATTGAGGTCTTGAAAAATCGGGAAATTGGAGGGAGAGGAGCATGGGGGACGAAGTGTAGTCAGGGAACCAGGCAGCCTCCTCCAGGCTCTGGCCCCTTCCCTGGGCAGACGCTGCTGCGAGTGTCCACCGGGTGGCAGCAGAGCTCTTGCCTTGCCTGCAGGGCTGAGGCCAAGCGCCTGGAGCTGGTGTGGGTGGGGCCAGCACAGGTTCGTATCCCACAGAGCATTATCTCTCTGGGCCTCAGTTTCCCCATCCATCAGATGAGGCTAGTAATAGTCCCCAGCTCCTGGGGTTATGAGATTTAAATATTTGGTGTCTAGGGTGACAGAGCCCCTAGCCCTGGGGCTGTGTGGCTATGGCAGGGCTGGCTCTGGGCCTCAGTTTCCCCAGGCTGCAGCCAGGAAATGGGAGAGTAGAAAGAGGTCCTGGAAAAGGAGAGCAGGCCTGCGGCGCAAATGAAGCAAATGGAGTGCTGGGAGGGCCAGAGAGGAGCCAGAGGAGGGGGAGCGGGGAGGTACAGGGTGAGGGAAGAAAGGGCCCCAAGCTCCGCCCCAGCCTTGGAGCCTGGTGCTTGTATCTCCAAGGCCCGGGTCAGGGTGACCCTAGCAGCTGGAGCAGAAGGAGGAACCTCGGAGGTGAGAGGCGGGTGTGTGTTGTGTAAAGTTTGTTAAGAAGATAGTTTTTTTTTCCTTTTTGGCTCTGCTTGGAGAGCGCTGCCCTGGCCCCTGCCACGCCTCCCACCCTCCTACCTGCCCCCTCCCTCCCAGGTACTCCCTCCTGGCTGCCCCTGCCCAACCTGGGTCAAGGGGGGAGCCCAGCTAGACCAGCTGGTTCGGGCTTGGTGTCCCTTGGCCTGTCACCACTATTCAGGCCCAGCCGAGTTCCTGTCCTCCCAGTCTTTGTTCTTCCGTTGGACCTGGATGGTGCCCGACCTTAATTCAGGATCCTCGGCCATACCCAGCCTCACCCCAGCTTGGATCACCACCGTGGTGGTCACAGCCTGAGCTGCCCCCATCTGGCTTCCCACCTTCCCGGTTCCAGGCTACCAGCACCTCCATCTTTC